GGTGGTCATTATAGCTGGTTCTCGTACATCATTCATCGGATAAACCTAGACACTTTTTCATTGACTTTGTGCTCCTAGAAAATTGTACGTATAGGAGCAAAGGAAGTTCTAGCGCCTAGTGTTCGATACGCCTGAACCGTCTGTACAAAACTGCGCTAAGTCCTTCTCACAGCCCGTTTATGCGCGATCTTGCCGCGTCTGGGATAGTTTAGATCGAAACCTTAGAAAGAGCTATTGACTCAATTACTAACATAAAAAGTCTTTTCTTTTTCTCTCTGAGATCGTAAATGGTCAGCATGAGTATACACGGTTGCGCAGATATGTATGTCATCGTAGCCTTTATTACCCTGACGTGCAGATTTTGGTGGGACCCTGGCCGTCATAAGTTTTCACGTCTAATATCATTGCCAAGAAAAGGTTTCTATTTCTCCCTGTGCTTTCCTGACCTGCTTCGCTTATTTAAGAACTTATTTGGCTGCTGTAGCGTAGAGTTCCTTTAAAACACATATCCAGTCTCTAATAATACCCTTTTTTTATATATAGTTCCTCAAGTTGCTATTATGGCTTCTAAATCGCGAGGAACGATTCTCAGTAGACAAATTGGGGGAATGATCCACTAAAACTCCCTTGCCCATCTTCCATAATTTCAGGTATATTGCCTAGCACAAAATATTCAAGGCAATTTTGGCTGCCACACAAAGGTGCTTTTCAACAAAAACCCTTATCATCATCGTCACAAAAAACTATTTTTTGCAAACACTTTTCTAGGTTTGATTAACCATACTGCCATGAAAACGTCATAAATTGTAACGTGCAGGATGTTCCCTACAAGGTCCACAAAATCTCGTATTCCGTTCATACAACCTCAAAGTAACTCCAAGTGCTTTCTCTTCTCCCCAACTAACTCATATGATTTCCTTTAGAGGTCTCTTTTCAGATTAAAAAATATTCCTTGTTGCTTCTAAGGACTTCTTCACAAAGTTGCTTGACTTTTTAGATACTCAACTAGAACCGCGTCTTTTACTTGCGCGTCGCCCTTCGATTACTTTTGTTTTAATTTGCATCGCTTCGTTCTCGTCAGACTTCTGCTATCTTACCTTTCTATAAGTATTTGGCGTCAAAAAATACGCTTCATCTCCCAAGAAGTACGCGTGATAACCCTTGTTGCTGTCTTTCAGAAACGTCTTTCAGAAATTGGATGTTGTTCTGAAAGTAATGAGCGAAGTTTGACTGTGTCTTTTAATGCATTTTACCTATATGCACTATATAAATATCGCTGCATTATTTGAGCATTTTCAGAAAAACCTTTGGCCCGCCATCAAGGGATCCATGTAGACAAATCTTAAGGTGATGTTTCTCACAGAAGCAGCCCCCAACGAGGTACGCGAGCTCAAGTCAAAAACCTGCTGAGCTACGGCCCCTCTAAAAGGCACGAAAGTGTAAGCTGCAAAAAGCTAGTGGGCAATTTGCTTTGCAAATCAACCGATTAAATGTGTAAGTTACACTGATTATATAAGCATACATATGGAATAATGTCCACTGTTTGAGACATCTGATAGTTAGACTTTTTGAGTATAGGAAGCTTTTTTAATTCAGAAGGAACGTCAAGACACACGTATTCACAAGTGAATATGTAATTAATTAATACGATGATTTTTCTAATTATTCCTCAGTTTTTATTATTTCAAATGGCCTTTCTGGCCATCACTGATCATATTTTCGAATGCTTGCATTCTTCAAATATCCTAGATAAACCGCTCTTTCAAAAATAACAACTGCGTCAACATAACGAAGTCACTGCCACAGAATAAAACATTGAATAAGCCAAGGAAATATGATAAGAGTCGTCAAATAGTAGCAGCGGGATAACAAAATGAATGGACTTTCAAGTTTGTTATAAAGAAAGAGATTTAAAAAATTGATCGAATCAATGTAACAGGATAGCTACAACGAAATAACAGACTTGGTGTTGCTGAATCTTAGAAGAATTAAACTGAAAAACGACTAAAATGTACTCTTAACTTAGTTTAATTTGGATTAAGTAAGTCAACGACAAAAAAGCAGAGATCGTCATTTAAATGAAACCGAAAGAGCGTCTGGTTTAGCTGCATTGGTAGTGTTAGAACTACCCTTAAAATATAGTTGATAAATCCGTATTAATCTCCTCAGTTATGAATTTTGAAAAATTAGGAAATAACCTGAATATAAGTCGAAATAGATACCAAGGGAGACCCTTTTGCCCAACAACAGTCTAGGACATATGTCATTAGTTAGTATAAGTGATGTCATTGTTGGCGGGCCTTAAATTCAATAAATTTTAAATAACACAGATGATATGTTACTAGTTTCTATTTCTCTTAATTATTTGGTATAATTGCGGCAAACGGCAGATGGAGTTTCAGGTGCAAATAAAAGAAGAATGAATTAAGGTGCATCTTTATGGGTAGTATGGAGTTTCGGAATTTTTTAAATCTTAATCCTCTTCGCCCCTTGATAAGAGTTGTCTCGAAATCGCAAGCGCATTAAGCATGGACTTTTTGTTCTGACCCAACACAGTACTTTTAGAGATGTTTTCAAAATAAAGACATAGCTCCATCTGTTTGGATTTATGTACATCTTTATTCTCGAATTCAACAATTTCATAAGCACGAGATCGTGCAATATTATACAGTAGTACTATTGCGATTTAAATTACTTTTTTCATTCGAGTTCATATATCATATACAGCAACATCGAGTTCACTGAGGAAAATTTTACAAAAGAACTTACTTGTTAGCTAGTTAAGATTTGCTTATATAAATAATGCGATAACTACAAGCACTTCGTAATAAATATCATTCATCATCTATCAGTGAATTAAGTTGAAGCTACCAATAAGCTGCTGCCCTGACATGACCCGTTTTTCAACCACCGACGTCAGTCTCATGATCTTAAATACGCGCATTTATGCATCCACACTGACGAGCATACATACTGCTTACTGTTTTTGATATTTCTGTGTCACTATCATGTCCAAGCTTTTACCATTGTTGGCAAGAACAACAAACGTACGTAAAAACTGAAATATCAATTGAACTTTTCTAGAAGACAAATAATGCACTTGCTGTAATTATGTTAGGTACTTGACATATATCACCTAGAAAGCTTTATAAGTTGGTGCACTTTTTGATATATGAATACCTAATCACACCTCTATACCTGAAATATATGTGGATTGCCCTAATGTTATTGTATGTCGGATCACCTTCAAAATTTTTACCTCAACGTAATTTTTTGCCCCACGCTAAAGTGCTTTCAGCGTATCAGCTAATTTGATAGTCTACTTAACGCCCTTCTATCATCAATTTCAACATGTCCCTTATGACTTATGTCCCGGAAGTGTAGGTTTTCATTAGAACTTTTTATTGGTTGTCCTTCTTTAATGTTTTAATAATACTTGAGTATACGATTTTTTTAAAGTGTAATTTTCAACAGCGTTTTTCTTGAAAGTCTTATACTAGAACATAAAGAATGTGCAGCTCCTAGTCTCTTGTATAGAAGATGAATAGTGGTTCACTCGTAGAGTCGACCCGTAATCGCCACACTGCACGCACATTGTTCTCATTCGTTTTCTTATTGACGGGTTATACCTTGTGAACCATTAAAGTAAAATCGTCATTGTGTACGACCTGATTCCATAATAACTGAAGTTGATTTCACGCCGACCCTGCCAAATCGAGATCCAATGTCTTTTTCGCCTCTCACCTCATCCAAAGTATGTTTGTCATTGTGCTTGCCAGTGCAGCTGCTGGGTTCAACATTGCTTCGCTGAGACGTCACCAGCTCATCATTTGTGCGTGAAGAAACACCTTCTGCGGAAGTGGCAGCAACAACGGCTGCGATATCTATGATAATATTTGTTGTGCTTGTTGACGCATCCTTTTTAGAAGGTGAAAATGATGAGCTTGCCGGAGAGTATACTAGCATAGATTTCGGTCTCCGTGGCAAAGGAGACATGTAGAATATCTGCAATTCGAAATTGACTAAGTCACCTGTAGCATAAATTGACGCAGCGCACGGTGAACATGAGCATCAAAAGTACAACAATCTACCTAATACAAATGCATAAAGGAGTATATATTTCGTAATCATTTACTTCCTCTTCTATTTAATTCACATTTGTGTTGTTCGTATTGTTAGTAAATTTGAAACTTTGTTGTTTATTCGTGTTTCCCCAAAGTTACCTACCGTGCAAAAAGTATGACTTTTGTTAATCTTTAGGTGACTCACCGCTCCAACAATCATCGCTTGGAGAAGCTTTGAAGTGAAAAGAACGTAAAAGCACCATTGCGAGATCAAAAGTGCAAACTGGATGCTTTAAAGAAAAACGATTAACTATACGAAGAAAAGTAATGTAACCCAAACAAAGGTGCCATCACATAGAGAGTGAATCACGTAAAGAACTACTAGAATATGGCCGGGTGTCCTAATTAATCCGCTATGTAACACTGTCGAAAATTACGCGCTGCGTCTTCTGCAAACCTAAGTTAAAGAAATATTTGATTTTTTTTGCAGGTGTAAATCTGCATAGATGCCAATATATCAAGGGCGCAGACTCATTATAAACTTGCCAGAAAGTTGGGCTGATATGATTTGAAAAGATGGGCAACGCGTTAGTCAGTAAATGCTCTTGCAAGGAAGATCGTGCTTTAGAAAGGATATGCAAAGAGTTTAATAATGAGATTAAAACGGCGATTGTTTATTCTAAAAATCTGCTTTTTTCGATCTTCTGACTTGATTTTGATGGCGGCGACGTTTGTTCGAGCTGTAGCCCCTTCGTAATCAATGAATGCGGTACGGGTACGTTTACCTCTTTTGCAGCCTTCGGTAACCTTATATCGGTGGGCTTCCGTGCCGTGCCGAATAGAACTGAATTAAGTAGTAATAATACGCCTCTATTTTCGCAGTGTGTGACACAGCAAAGAACGCGCTGTGTAGCATGTATTAACTGAGAAAAAATACAAATAGGCCGTTCTCATGAAACCGTGCCATGTCTTTAAAATTCTCAAAGCCTATCACTATGTTGAATATTAGTTATTTTTGCGAGAAGTGAAATAATGATCCATTTTACATTAATCAATAGCTAGAATGATAGTTACACTATGGCCGTTGGTTGTTAATAGAAAGTATAGGGACAGGTTCTAAATGGTGAAATACCGCACACATAAGTGTTTCGGGAGATAAGCAGGTATCGAATGAGGTTCAGATGGGAACGAGAAAGCTGTATAAATAACGTTAGCAAAAATTTTCCACTCACAATGTCGAAGTTATAACACTAGGAAAAAGCGGTAAATCGGGGAGATAGTAGGACAAGGCCCTAAGTTACGTCGTTAGAAAATTATTTAAGGGTAGCCCAATAGAAAAATTGAAACTTTGATACATGTGTTCTAAGTAGCAAAATCTAGAATTTTCGTTGTTTAAGAAATTGGTGTAAAAATTGAAGAATACGTAATGACCGAGCTACTAAAGTGTCCAGTATCAGTACGAACGTACTTATTGCCTTTTAGGCTAGCTCAAGCAGTATTTCACATAGTAAAATACGAACCTTATATTGGGAAGAAAGAATGTTGTATAAATTATTAAAACAGGAGATATCACACAGTTCAGTCAATAAGAAGAAGAACCGCAATGTGCCTCTTCTATATTAAAGTTTTATTTACACTATTAACGTTTAGAAGATATTGAGTTCACGGTCACACGTATTATGTCTAAATACGATAATGAGTCATTGATAAACACAATGATGAAATTAGAGCGTCAAAGTCGCTTGAGTGTGGCGAGCGCATAGCATACACTAGGACGCCTAATTATATATTTAAAGAAGACGGGAAGTATGACCTTCGTCAAACGATTTAATTTCTGGTTTTTAATCTCAGCATGGACTGCCTCATAGTTTTTTGCTCGGGGTTCTTTCGGACACTTCTGCGGAAGCCGTGAGGTCCATCTGCGCGAGTTCGTAATGTCAGAACATTCAAATGGTTTCGCCGACATAATAGACATATTACCATATTCCAATCCGATTTAGCTACAAGCATTTTCCACGGTGGATCTCTAGCATTTTCATATGAGTACTGCTGGCTTTATTTTGTATTAAAAAAGGTTACACAACTTGGGCCACCTAATGCGGGGATCATAACAATAGCACAGTAAAGTAAAACAGGCCTTCTTAAAAGAACAGTGGAATGAGCAGCGACCTGTTGATTCGGTCTAATATCACTTATAACGCACAAACCAAACATCGATTTGTCGATAGTGATACATAATGCTGTCCTACATATATGATGGAAGCTTGGAAGTGCTGCAGCAAGTAACGCTGGAATGTCACTAAGTGGCCTGTTGTGTACGTGTAGTGACGAACTGAGCTGATTCTAGAAGGTCTTGTTAGCAACTTGACTTTTGGCTTCAGTCGATATCTTCATTGTTTTGCCCCGCGATCGACGGTTGGCTATTCAGTGAATGTGGCCTAGCTTTTGGGAGGTTGAAGGCGAAGCGCGCGAAAACATCCTGCCTCTTGTGCTTACTCTTTATATATGGCAAGTGGCCTTCGACATTAGAACAAGATTCTTTCTGCGCGCTGTGTTCGCATCGTCTAGGCTCATTGCTGTAATCGTAAATACGTATTTAAAGTACGTTTATGAAAGAAAGGACGGCCACTCGCATTATATTATCGAGGCGTATAAAACACGAGTCGTTCGATATAATATAAAGTAAATACAAAGGTCCAAAGTGTTAAAATAGTGCTTAGATTCATCCTCCTTCTTCAAAAGCGAGCCAAATCAAACAAAAAAATCGATCTATGTCTGCGAGCTAACAGTGGAGAATGAGATTCCAAAAAAAATTAAGAAGCGAATACAAAGACACTGACGTCCCACAATATCTGTATCTTAACAGAATATATGAAAGAGAATAATTACCAATGGACCTTCCTGAATTAAGTAAAATTCAAGCGCTTAACTTTTTAGTTCTGCGACCCCCCAGCGCACTGCATGATGAACTACGTTGGAAGACTAAACATACCTAAAAGCAGCTTCAAAGGCAAACACGAGCCTAATAGAACAAATCCTTAGCGGGAACAATTATATTTATATAATATATAAACGACGAAGTTGCCAATTTTATTTGTACCTTATATTGACATCGCTTGTTGCCGAGAAAAACGACTTGCCTAGCTACAACAAAAAGAAAAACTTTGGTTTGATGTAGAGACTACTTAAATTAATTTGTACGATTGTTTTTTTTGATAAAGTGGCTACCATTTTATCGGAACTGATTTATCAGATGTTTGGCAATTGTCACACCGCAAAATGTAATGTCTAGTATTTTATGCGAAAAGGCTTAAGTTTTTCAAAAAAAATGGAACCGCTCTGTTGAGTCTGCACAGTAAAAGAAATGTACACGTGAACTCTTGTGACCTTGATATCAAAATTACGACATATCACCTTTGTCTTGAATACTAAGTTCAAAATCGAGTTATTCCTATTTTTCCTCATCATTCTCCTAAACTCAGCAAAGTACAAAACAATGACATGCATAATCTAGGGGCTTTTAAAAAGTTGCCGAGCCACCGGGAAACATTATTTTGGCCTTCAGAACGAATTGAACACAGGCAAGATGGGGCGATCAACGGCCTGAGAGTTCACGATATCAACAGGAACATCCAACCTTCCGATCTTACCATGAGCGATAGCTTTACAGGGATTGCCTCCTAAGAACACAGATTGGAGCAGATCTCTTTAGCAGTCATCCTAAATAATAAGAAATCACCTTGTCAATGGTAAGATCGTCTTGAGGAATCCTTTGGTCTGTCCCAATTGTTTGAGGTAGAAAATCTTCTCAAAGTACTGCAAAGAATCCATTATTAGACAAATAAAGCTTCAATATATTATTTCATATTCTTTGTAGGATACTATTCGTTAGTTAAGTCATAAAAACCGTCAGCCGTAGCTTTATTGCAAAGTCTTCCAATGTAGGCAAAAGCAACTATTTCTTATTTGAAGCCGTTGACAGAGACATAGCTGCCTACCTAGAACAGTAATACCAGGAGTCGGTGCAGAAGAAAAGATCTGACACACTAGCATTCTAGTCGCCTTTGCAAATAATTTTTATGGTCTCAATGAATCGAGTCTTGCTGGAATTCTGAAATTCAGTCTACAAGCACTTGGAATTACAAAGCAGGCTATCTCCGTATCTGTCGTTAGCCACGTCCTCCGCGCTGCATTACTTACCAGTGTGTCATGACTTCAATGACGCTTTAAAGTTTTGAACGAATCCGGTTCAATAGAAATACTCCCAACTAGACTGCCAACAGAGTAGTGGTTTCAAATCTGCTCTTGACATTAAGATACAAAAATCTCAGAATAGCATCGTAGAAACACATCTCTAATTGTCCTCGCCGAGAAGAATCGCTCGAAGAAACTGCCTTAATAGCGCGCCTTCGACAATACAGCACTTTGAGATAATTTCTGTCACTTGGACTCAAGGCTGCATTTGGTAGAGAACAAAGATATTGGAATGTTAACAGGTCTAAAAACGCTTTGTGGCACTGACTTTCTTGCCGGAAAACAGGGGTAACCAATTTTGTCACACTGGACAAAGGTATGTTTGAATAACTCAGTTTCGAGCAGGCAACAGAATTTCCACAGGAGGATAATTTTAGCTCTCTTTTATTTCGTCTTAAATAACAACTTTGCGCTGGTTATCTGCGACAAGCATATGTTAGTTAAGGCAAACCAGTAGACGGGTTATAAAGTAGTGTACTCGAAACACTGCTCAAACTGTTAGTAGGCTAAGGCGACTCGAAACATGACGGAAAAAAATCTGAAGAGTTTTTCTTGGGGCCTGGGTCTTTGAACAATAGTGAAACTATTTGACGCTAATCCTAAAAGTCATTTTTAATGTGGGTGATAGGAGTACATAAACGAGTGCTAACAGACCGGTAATTTTATCTATTGATATTCCTTTCTTCAAGGGAGTTATTAATTTTTAGATTGCTAAAGATTATCCCCATAATAGCTTAGTAGACAACCCATTTGCCTAATATTAAGGCTACGTAATGGTTTATGCTTGAATCCGATCATAGACACACTTCATTTCTTCCTAACTGCCTCGGTACTTGGTATTAATGCAAAAAAATATCCACTTTACATACATGCCTACTTTTGTTGACAATATTTTATTTCAGTATTATACACGCTTGACTTGAGTATGAAACATGAATGATTGATATCAGCAGCTCGATGAACCAAAAAACGAGCAGAATAATAAACATAGAAATGACGCTAATTGAGAAAGACGAGACGTAAGTAAGAGACATTTAAGGGCTGGCGAAATGTAGTCGGCATCGTAAATAGATAAATAGAAACAACCGCTTGCATTTAAAGATGTGTTGTTTCAAGAATTCGTGACAAAAGAACTTCGTAGTATATGAAAGTGAAGGAACAGAATGATTGTCGCGCTATAATGTGTTTGATTAGTATTGTATATACGGCCAACCTAAAGGGCCAAACTTAATCGCATTATAATAACGACATACTGTAAAATGTACCTGACGTAGGAAAGAGTGGATGTAAACATTAAAGACAGATTCGCTTACAAGAATAAATTTATCTATAGCATGATCGACAATACTCAGTTTAAATAAAAAAAGTCTGCTCTACGGCAGCTCCATTGTATTTCGAAAAAGCTTTGCAATACAAATGGCTAATTGTTCTGGCGACTCGACGCATAAATGTGGTTAAAAATTATGCATTTTTAAAATAAGTCTTTTAGCTTCCTACGAATTTTAAGCGATAAGGAAACTAAGACACATGGATACATCACAAACGACAGTAAAATTTGAGAACACTGTTATACAAAAAACCTAATATATACAGCATTTAGATCCGTGGTGAAATGCTTTCCAGTCGTTAAAAAACAGGTCTTATACGGGAAAAAGGAGTCAAGAGAGATCACAAATAATTTGATATTCGCTTGTACCCGCGTTCTCTGTTTTTGAGAGGGTCAATTTGGGGAAACTGAAATATATTTGAATAATAAGTCTGTTCATAAGAGGTGGTCCATGAGGGCTAGCTACTTCTAACTGTCCTAATCGAGATTTTTAGTGGGGAATAAATCAAACTTCGAAACTGATGTAGCTACGTAAGTATATGTTTTTTGCGATACTGCCTATTATCCACTATAAACATGCTGTACAACTGCGTACGTATGTGCGTTTAACTCTGGTTGGCTAAATAGAAATTGATCCCGATTAATTATTACAGGCGTAGCACTTCCAATGTGTCACCCTACACATACAGCAAGCACTAGAAAGCACAATGTTTTCTTTTTTTATTTGTGCCTATAGTAGAGGTGCAGTTCTTTTTTTAACTGATGCTACAAATTTATACACGACCTGACTTTTAGTTATACTAATCGTGGAAAATTTAATTTTCAATTCATACTGTGGAATACTTGAAGAAACTGCTTGGCACCCAAGACAATTGAGGGTTCCATTAGTCGAGGAATTTGTATATTGTCGATGTCTTGACACCAATACGCCCAATCATTGTCTATTGTTTTCATTTGACAACCGCAGCGTTATTTAAGCGTTTGTTTAAAGATATTATCGTTTAGTCATGTAAACACTTTAAACTAGAGAGTATCGACGCATACCAGTAAGGGGTTCGCGAGGGCGAAATAAATATTCGTGTTACTAACATGCTTAGATTTGTAGGAAAAGTCCTTTCACATTCCATATGTAAAAAAAAAATTTTAAATATGAACAATTTATTTGAAAATTAAGTTATTTTTGTATCAAAAATGCAAAAACGTATATATATATATATAGGAACGCATACACAACGCAGTGCTGGTGCCAAATACACAGAAGTTAGGCAAAAAAAAACTAATTCATATCTCTGTTGTATGTAAAATCCTTAAATCTACTTCATTGATATTATCGCTCTCTTAGCAAATGAGATTGACTAGATTTTATAGCTTAGCTTTACTGGCAACGACCACAGACATATTTAAAAAGCTGAATTTTGAAATAGGTTGTATTGAGAGCTGAAAAGCGCCTAACGTTGTATACATCCTGCTACGTGATACTGACCGTGATAAAGGCGCAGAGAATTCCCAGGATGGCGCCGGCCGCGACGTCAGAGTAGAAATGGTAATGGTCACGCACTCTTGTTAGGGCAATAACAAAAGCCACTTGAATAAACGCAAACTGCATCATCGGCCGCATAACAGGCACAATCACTGACTTCCATGACATTCGCAATTGGAGGTAAGTCTGACGACGAAGCATCAGTACGAGTTGGGCAGGGCCATGAAAAGTTTCCAACAAACGTAAGAATTCAGGCAATAAGGTAAACAGTAACCATGGTAGCATTTTTGTCTGTTTTAGTTGAAAACTTATTTTGCTATTACGTGAAAGTTGCAGAGATCTACATGTAAATCTTTGGCTGAATCTTGTTTCAGTTTTTAAATTAACTTTTACTTTCTCAGCTCTGTCATCTTAAATATGCGTTGTGAAAATAATCATGTTTCATCATGTGTAGGCATAATCAAGTGGGTAGAAAGTGATGTAATGTGAGCCGTTCCTATGTAGAAAAACAATCACCGAAGCTATGCATTGGTGGAAAATGCATTTTTCGAAAGCATTTGCGGACAGAAATCTCCTAAAAATAGGCGAGACTGATGACAAGCAACGACAATATTTTTTCGGGATTTATTTATGACCATATTTGGCTACTGCAAGTACAACCGAGTTGTATCGCTTTATACCTGGTGCGTTCCCATAGTTATATTGCAACAGTTTGATAATTATGGCAGGGAAAAATCAAAAACGATAGATCAAGAAGATCAGCCGACTAGGTAGGAGACACAAGAGTACGCTTATATACTTATTTTAAATTGCCTAAAGTAGCTGGTTCTAAGGGGTTCTTGAGAGGTTAAAAAATGCAGTAGTTAAGTTGAAACGCATAATTTTTTAGATTTAGGAGGTCTCCAACTATAGCCAGTGCCTAACGCCGTTGCTCAACAGCAGATGAAAGAAAGAAAAAAGGCACTGCAGGCGTAGGGTAGTTTTGAACAAACCATTTCAGATGCTTGGTAACGAACGTGTTGTCAAAAGTATTCTAAGATAATTTCAAGTAAAACACAAGGCCCAAAACAACTGCCTCAAATAATTCAAATGCTATTATGGAGATATTTGGGGCTAATCCTAGCAAATGGTAGATATTGACTAATGTTAATGTCTGTGCAGAAAGCCGTTATATGCAGAGTACAGAACATGGGTAAAACAAACTTTAAACAAAGCTATTGGAAGCTGATTCTGGAAATTCATACCATTTTGGTATCTAGTCAACTGTAAATTATAAAAAAGAGTAAGACTCCATGTATCAAAAAATCATCAATAGAACGGAATAAGGCAAACAAATTACCAGAAGGTAGACAGCGATGTAAAAAGAAGCCGCAGCGTGAGCAGATGGAAATGATTCCCTAAAAAAACATGGCAGAAAGGTTCATATAAAACCATACTTTTAGATGATAAATTATTCACTTTTTGCAAAAAAACATCTAGATGATTTTATCTTAGTGTGTTTTTATTTTTATGTGAAAAATCAAGTAACCACACATTTATTGGTATACACATGATATGCACCAAACTCAGTATATTAGGCATTGTGTTTGTAATATAAACAATTTATATAATAACAATAAAATATATTACGTAGTTACAACATATACAATGCATCTTCCCACTGCTTTAGATTACGTCTTCTTCTGGCTGTAAACAGTTAGAAACTAGGCTTTTTTTAATCAAAAGTTTTTCCAAATCGTGCAGTCGCAAGATATCGACAAGCCTCATGGCCATTTTACTTAGGCGAGGCTGGTTACGCTATTTTGTCCTGACTTCATGCATTTTAAGGTCATGATAACCCGTACCGGTACTACAATCTTTTCAAGGCAGCCAACTAAGGATCTTCTTGTTCTAATAATGTACTTTGTTTTCAGTTTTGTTCAAATTATTGAATAGCGTATTCGAAAGTGCTCCCAGTTCCCACTGTCGCAATAGACACTCAGCTGGCCACTGCAAACTAGCGCCGCCAACCAGTTTCTGAATGGCTAGAATTCAAGAATGATGAGTAAACTTTATAAAGGTTGTGAAATCGATGGATGCAGCTGGTACGAGCTGTCTCGCAAGCCTACCAGACTGGCTAGACTATCCAGTGTCCTCAAAGCACTTTTGGCGGCAGGACAAATATAAACGCCTATACGTATATATACACTTTTTCCCACCGCACCTGCAGTTCTCAAGCAGCGGAGTAGAAGCTAGAAGAACGCCACTTCAGCAGATGAGCTATGACATTTTTCTACGTTTCTTTTTTTACCGCGCTTTCGAACTAAATGCTGGTGTGAAACCTCCAGCTTGTCGCAAGAAGTAAGAATAAATGTCGACGTGCAGTGCCATCGCTAAGCTTCAATTCACTACATATAAGAACTGCTCCTTTGTGTCCTTTGTAAAACCTATCAAGTTCTCCGATACACTTACCTTTCAGGCCATTTCTGCTGTTAGTGTCTTTTTGAACATTATCTTTCAATGTCTCAGCCTGAACTGGTTAGGATATGATTGACAATGTAAAGAAATATATAACAAAGTTTTCATTCAAATCTGCTTCAATACTGCCAATATATGTTCTGGTTCGTTTTACCGCTCGATTGGTCAATAAGCTCCTTGTAATTCTACAGCGAATGGAATTTTACATCGAGTTCAGGCTCCAAAATGAAGGTTCTAAGTGAAAAACAAGTGCATATTTGGTACCCAGTTTATTTTGCGTTTTACCGAAATTAGAAAACTGCCAAAGCTGCAAAAAGCGTTCGTGCAGTACACAATATGAATTCCAGGCTTAAAAGAACTGTTCAGAACCCGTTTGCGAAGTTCAATAATGGCATAGAGAACTTAAAAATACACTTCGCTTTGGTCGGCCATTTGAGGTCGACGATGACTGCCTGAGGACACTTCTGAAGGTAAACGGCCGGCAGGTAGTTCATTATGGGTAGAAAATGAACCGCAGTAGTACGGTTGTCTGATATCTTTAGTCTATAAGATTTAAGTAAGAATTGGGTGCTTGAACGTTTCCACAAAGAAATATGAGTTCTTATTTCTGTTAAACATTTCGAAATTGGGCAACTCGCAGTCGCATTGACTTGATTCTATACGAAATTGTCATTGGTGGCTAGAGGTCGTGCCTCCATGCCAGTATAAAGGAGAGAAAGGAATAAGTAGCTGCGAGATCAAAGACTGATGGTGAATACAAGTTATTCTGCTAGTAGAGCTTGATCGGAACGCAACATTGCTTGTTAGTTGGAAAACCGCCTTTACTTGTAGCTCAAACGTGCCACCATGTACGTACAAATGCCATTTCCGAGCCGCAAATAATATAGCAAGCCTTTCTTTCTTAAGTTGTGATTAATTACGTCTTGCCTGTAAACAGTATCCGAACAGCACGAAGAGTACTTCCCCTTGACCGTCGAAGAAGAAATATGTCTTGCTAGGGCTCCAATGACATAATAATTTGTATCAGTGATGACTACAATTAATAGTTCTTTGTTGAAATACGAAAGGAGAAAATTCAAGCCAAGTATTTCACGAGCCTAAAAGCATTTTTTAACGCATTGTTGATTTTTCTTTAGCAAATAAACTGAAGAATGAATTTTATGGAGCGCGGAATCAAAGTCTTTATAAAAATTGATGACGCAAAAAAGTTAAAAAGAAAATTAATCCAGTTTTACTTAAAGCCGAATTTAGCTCCGAAAAAGTTGTCTGAGTCTTTTATCATTTTTTCTTAAACTTGCTTCCAAAATAATAATGCTATCCAAAGATAAACGCTTTCGAAAAAATTGATTTCATATCATTTGTGACTTGCAAACTCACCTGTTATAATGAATGACAGACAATTGATTTAATGTTAACTTTTCGTCGTGTTAATTATCAAGTGCGACCTTGAAATCGTCAACTTGGACGTGAAAATACGTTACAGTCAGTTCGATCTGTGAGAACTATTGGCCTTCGCTCAGTTGTACAAAAATGTCGTTGCGTATCAGAGTTAGGTCGTGATGTTTCCTGTTTAATCTTATACTATGACAAGAGCAGGAACGTATTGACTTAGTCTTTTCTTATAGTTGAAGTGCCACATCGCTGTAATGCCCCGTTTTTATGGACACTCCGAGACTGATAAGGTGTTGCAGCTCTTTCTTTAGTTTAGGTACATAATTAATAAAATACAAAACGGGCTTTCTTGAAAATTAAGGAAACATTTGGTATTGGTTGTAGCGACATTCTTATCTTTATGCAATACTTCATCCCTTCAGGGAATTCCGTGGAAATGAAGTTTGTAGTTCCTTCACTATAATGCGCCTTTCATTATAAGTTGCCTTTTAATTACTGTAACTGTCTCTCAGCTCTTTTTTATAATTTTTCAAGTTATTTTTTTATGTGAACAAGTTCTCGGGATCACCTCCTTTTTTAAAGAGCGTCAAAGGCTTATGCTCGTTAACAGTCTAACCAGAACGGGTCTTACTGGATTTTTGTGAGATTTCCTCAGATTTATAAAACATCATGGCATCACGTTGCAAAGAGTCGTCTCATAATGTATGATGTTTTGGTCTGTGTCAACACATTGTGTACAACGTTCAGACAAAAAAATGTCATGGCGTGTGCTTTTTATAATGGTAACAGTAGAAAACAAATTCACCTGCATAATCTAAAGCTTGTTGTGAGACCTTGAATGGATACCATGTCTAATGAAAGGCTGTACTTTTTTCTGCGAAATGCTGCACCTCCTCATACGAACCAAATCACACAGGCCTACCATCTGAAGATGTTCTCGAACATGCATTTGTGGCCACTCATCCATATTGTAAAGTTACTTCAAGCCCGCCAGAGTGTCGAAGCTCGAAATGCTTACGCTGCCTCTCATCAACCTTGTGAAAAAGATATTGACGAAAACTAACAGAGAATCTTCGAAAAAGCTATGTGAATTGATTAGGCCTTAAATTGAAGCTTTTAATAAAGTAAGTAGAAATTACATTGAATAATCGAGTCGGTCATGGACATATACGTAATCATGTAATGCTCATATTAAATAATAAACAAGAAACACCAATGGCAAAAGCAAAAAATTAGGAGTGCCTTGAATTCGCAAAGGTAACAGGTGGATTATAAAGTTCAAAGACAAAAAGTAAATTCTATGGAATCGGTCCGTTCCGATTAAAAGCGACCATCGAAGTTATTATTTGGCATAATGTGAGAAGCCCGGATATCGACAACGGACATTAATAAATTAAAAAATGTCATATATTCCTTCTTAGGAAAGTTGATTTACGATTGCCTCGTACTTCCATATAACATGGTTTAACGAATTTCTATTGAAAAGAAATTTGTAGTGTTTTCCCAGATGTTCGTCGCCATAAGCCTCTTATAATGAAGACCAACAAATACTATACTGAGTAACTCCGAGCCACCGTAAGGGATATGAAGCGGGTTTTTTGTAGAAACTAGAACGATGAAGTTGTGCTAGCGCTGTGGTGTAGATTCAACGAGATTGCCACCCGTATTAATCTCGTTGCGACCGGAAGGTAATCTTTGGGTGAAACGACGAAACGATTGAACGGTGCATAGAGAATGCACGGCCGCTTCAACACAGCAAAGCCAGAAGCGACGTTAGCTTCCTCGGATGTCTGTTCAATTAATACGAACCCGAACTACCCTTCACCAGATATCAGCTTTAGTCGTTTCACGCATTCTCAAATGACCTTGTATCCCGTTGTATTTCATTTATCCTAGTGTATTCTATAGCTCTCGAGCAAATCGTGGTTTGCTTTCGGAATATAGCAATGCTGAATCAGTTCTGTGTCGCCTTACTTCCATCAACGACGATGCGACAAATACGGCACCATGTTTTGAGTCACAATCTATTGACTAACTGAAACAGCTTCCTGCCATTCTGCAATAGCACACCGCCCACGTAATTGGTCCATCGGTACAGTCATTTGAATCTATAAATAAAACATCATTTTGAACTTTTCACGGTTCTTAAGTAATTAGGTTAAGCAATCACACAGTATTTAGGACAATCATTACGGATACAATCATAACTATCGTGCAAGTTCCCCGTTCGAGTTGCTTATATTTGGTTGCAAACATCTTTTAGACAAAGTTTTTGGTCGAAGTAATTAATTAAAGCAGATACCGACGTAAAATCAGGGTAGTGGGAAGTATGAATTTAGTGGGCACAATTGCAGCTAGAAAATACCGGCTAAGTCCTATACAGCTGTGTCAAATACTTAAATGTTAGGCACGGTGTCTGTAGGCAAAATTTGTAGATTAACCATTTAATAAAAAAAACAGTAATCTAACTTTTTTTTTGCAGCCCCAGCTATTGACTACTCGAAAGCATATGACAGAGGAATCAAATAATCACTAGCAAAGCTATCACTTGATTTCTGGATATAGCTAACAAAGCCGTGTCTCGTTGCCACAGAGCGTTCTCTCTAATTGCCTTCTTTATGATCAAAAAGTTAGTCTATTTTATCATCTAATATCCAACTTTCTTTTACACAACTTTAATTTGATCAAGCATAATTGCGAAATATCTAAAAGTAATTAGTCTAACGTTTTTTATATCTCCAATTTGATTTAAGCTGTCGTACTTTGCGTAGATCCTAATTCACGAGTTAATAATTTGCCCGATGTCTTATATGCTTCGCCAAATTTAGTGAAGTGTATTGAACGATATCTTGTTTATAAAGCACCAAAACGTATTGTTAGTTTTACCTAACGGAGAATTGCATCAAGGGTACTGCTACTAGCAATTTCTCATTCTAAACGAAATTCGCATTGTAAATTGATTAAACTACGGCGGTATGATAGTGACAGCCACCAATTATTTTATATAATATCGTATAACACAATAACTTTATAAGATTATTTGTCTCAGCACAAATTTCTTTTTAAAGGAATATTGTAGACTGTACTGTGATTAATCTGATTACATTATGACGAGTTAAAAATGTAATGGTATTCACTCTGATTAAAGTTAAGGGCTCGGCAAGCTGATATTAAAAATCAGACAACTTGAAAAATCATTAAACAATAGCTGAAGATAGGAACTCATACGGGACCTCATTATACCCGTATTATAATAGTCAGTCCGGCGTTTAAGTTACCTAGGCAGCAGAGGACAAAAGGGTTGACGTAATTATAATCGACGTCTATGTAACTGCTGAGTGATATGGTTAACAAATATACAAACCAATAAAAATTTATAGATTTTTTTCTAAAGCATGCATATAGATAGCTTAAATTTGCTGTACCTGGCATTGATTTCTCCTCTTTTATTTGAACAGATGAGGTCCACAGTGTATTGCTGGGTCCTGCTGGCTTCACAAAACTGCACAAGGTTGGTAGGCTTACACGCATCGATGAAATGTGGTCTTAGGCGACCAGCAATTTTTTTTCCGAGTTCAACTGTCATCATGGTTAGTGCCGCTCCATAAAGAAAATTTCCAATGCAGATATAAAGGGACTGCACTAACTTTGGTACCCAAAGGCTAAACAGAGTCATTTGCTTGACAGGCAACCATTCCTCGTCGTCGAGATGCCATCGCAGAAATTCGGTAATCAGGATCTGCGCTCAAGAAAACATGCATCGTGCTATTACTGTTGAAAGACATTATCGATTCACGTACATTTTATTAAAACAAAACATCTTATAGTCAATTAATCGAGACATAGATATTTATGTGTGCTGGACATTGGTTTTTTTCGAAACCTAATTTGACACCGATTTACTATCAGCGCACTTCATACTTAAACATAACCAAGGTCAAAACCAAAGCCAACTGTTTAAAGCAATGGACGGCAGTATCGGATGTGAAGCTTGAAACGTTTCTTTACATTTACACACACTAATTAAACTCAGGTTTTAAACACAGAAAGCAAGCACATATATATATATATATATATATATAGCATCACTTCGTGTAAAGTGGCAATCATCGGATCCGTAAATGCTTGTTATGTTCCGACAAAACGATTTCAACAATATTTTCTTTTTTTTAAGTGCTATTTTTAAAGTGCTTCTTGCGGTTAATAATGTTGCTTGTTTTCGAAATTAACATGAAGACCAAATGTCTGGTAGGCCAGTCAATCCTGCCGATCAAATAAAATCCTACAATTTGATCTAAAAGAGGGTACAAAATAGCTGTATACATTCTGTAGATGTGCATCTACAAGTAATATTTGCATTGGCATCGTAGGTCCAGTAATTCAATCCAAATTAGTATATGCTGTACTTGACTCTGATATAACACCTACGATGTTACAGTTACTATGAGAATACCCCTATAAATGATACTATACATTTTCTCCTCCACGAAAACGCTAAAAAAATGCCCTTTAAACAGTTTACGGCTAAAAGTTGTACATTAAAAACTTTGTTGTCTCCGGTTGCCTTTTTCAGCGTTTGCGTCACTTTCTGCAACAATTCGAGCTTGTCTGGTTCTTTTTTAGGAATGTGCCGGAATACCAACTGCTCATAGGCTAACGAATGTTTGTGATGTAAATCAGTAATAGACTTTAGCGAGTCAATTGTCCTCTTTGGAGCAAATGATGCTATACTAGCTGTTATGTGATCTTGTGGAAGAGTAAAACTTATAACGTCCCTAGGTGATAACCAACGAATGCTTGTGGCAAAGACAACAAAAAGTTCAAGACCTGTCTTAGCCATGTCTGAGAGTCACAGGCAGTCTCCCCAGTAAACCCAATGGATTATGTCATTTGGGCGATGATTACTGCTACTTTTCCGTTGCAAGCATCTTTCGTTTAAAGAAACCGCTCATATAAAAAAGGGAAGGCGCCGAGATGGACTGACCCTCGCACCTTTAAACTGAGACAAGTATTTGACATTCTATTCCACTAATATGTCCATCCTAGCATTAGCAATCATTATTTTTATTTTAACACTTCAAAATGCATACAAGACATACTTGCAGTCTTTGGTATTATAGTTACTTGAGCAAAACGATGATACCATCGCTTTGTTCAAGTAACTGAATATCTGAATGCAGTGACGTCTTAGGGCAATAGCTAAAGTGTGGAACAGACAGAAACTGAAAAAAATATAGTAGTCAACGAAGGGACATTTACTAAGGGTGAGTTCAGGCGAATATAACATTATGCATTTTACAGAAAGCAAGCGCTGCAACAATATGGCTTATCAGTTTAGCTGGGAGGCGAACATCTTGAGATTAGGCAATGAGTTAAGTACTGGAAATTATTTTTGATACCAGGACTAACATCCATCTCTGATGTGGAATATGCACAGAAAAAGGCCATTAAGAGTGGCTCTCAGCCTTTCACCTCTACCACACGGAGCCTAAGGGGAAAGCATGCGCCTTTTCGTCTCGGTTCCAAAGTCGATTGTGCCCTGTGCATTCCTTATCTCGATGGATATAGTGCTAAGCGATAAAAAAACAGATTATTTTGTGGTCAGTCAAGGGGATGGTAACAATAAAGGTGGCTAGGACATAATTTGTAGGACAATATCTGCAGGTACTATCCTGGTGCTGGCCAGTACAATTTCTTGATATTTATTAGTCGAACCGCGAGCACAGGGGAGGTTAGATCACAAGATTGATTTGAAAACTGTTAACATAGCCAGTCAGAACAAATGGCAAGAGAGCTGGGGTAAGGACGAGGAACGGCTGGATCTTGGACGTGAGCTCTGATTTCCGAAGTTGGACCATGGTTAGAGAAAGGAAAGGGTTTTATTATGTCATTCAGGTTCTCATGGGTCGCGGTTAGCTCTAGTCTTGCACAGTAAAAAAAAAGAAAAAAAAAAACTTGTGCCTCATATATATGCTCTAGTGCACAGATCTTAAAGAAGTACGACCAAAGTCCACTAGCAGAGGGTTTGCTTAGAAACAAGCGGTCAAAAAAATCGTTGCGGAAACGCTTAGCTCAGGGTAAAATACAAGACAGTGTTAACGTTTCTAAAAATTAACACTCGCCGCCATCAAAAACGGTTCTATCAGAGACGCTGCATAAGAAAAATTTCAAATTCGTCATCAACATCCCCAGGATTTGAATAAATGCAAAACCTCTCGAGCCTGGATAAAAATCTTTTTTAGAAGAAGTGGGTATTTGTTCTTCCTCGCAATACCTGGGAAGTCAGAGTTGCCGTGTCACACATTTAGACCGGACTACAAACTATCTTTAGGTAATGCCCCGGGATGATTTAGGCAGCGTACAGATACAGTCTTCTAACTTCTACTTTGAAAAGTCCGAGACTTTGAAAAACTTATACATAAAAAAGACTACCTGAAAATAGTTGGCTTCCTGAACGTTTAGCTTGCGGTATCGAGTTTAGATACACAGTGGTTAAATATATTTTAAATATTAGTTACGAATACGCAGGATCAATAAAATATATTAGTTACATAAAAAAAGCTGCTTAAACAAAAAAATGCTTAAGATGAACATGTGAGGGAAGGCCCTCATGGTATGCGAAATTAATCCGGAAAAACCGTTCAGGCCCTTCTCGATTGAACTAAAGTAATACTGAAAATAAATTTGCAGTGGTGATTTGCCAATTAAACAGGTATCTAATTTAGTCAAGATCCGTTTAATAAATGCTGGGATAGCCGTTACTTTGGGTACTAGCATGGATTATGATAACCCATTAATAGATTTCTCAAGACAAAATAATCCTTTAAAAATGAGGGCCGCTTATGCCAATTACAAAAATGATGGTTAAACTTGGTAGATATTCGTAACAGATTATGATGCCAGACTTCTTAACGTGCCTACTACAATATTTGTTCGAACTTCGCGTTGATCAAGACATTTTCTCTAGGCTTCTTTGGTCCTTTATGGTTAGACCTTGGCATTTTGAGTATATTGGACAAGCAATATCACCCAAACTTTTAAAGAAGATTTTCAATAATCCAAGTACCTTTAAGTAAAGTACCTTTTTAGTTATCGTTAAGCGCTCCACGGGTAAATCTTATAGACTGGGTAACTGAATTGAATTTCTACGCCAAGTCAGCGTTAGTTGGAGCAAGTTCCTTCTATTGCATTTCATTAGAACTACAGTGGGTAGCTAAGCTATCAGAAATATTCAGCGTTTTATTGCATGTCCCATTATAGATGTTTGCAGTTCCTCAAACTCATCAAATCAAAATTATGCACATTTTTTGTATATAAGCGACGCTGATTTATTAAACAACTGCTCACGTAGCGTTAAGCGCACTCGTCGTATACTAATTCCAACCGTGCCCGGTGAAACAGGCGTAGATTTTGGATATCGCTTTGACGGCAATGTGATTAAATATGTGAATTTCCAAAGAAATCTGTAAACGGGCAAGTCGAGTGCTAATGGTAGGTTTAATATTAGGGTTATTGCAAGGTTTTAAATTCCATCATTCGAATATCTTTGTCATGCCCCCCGTCCCAATTACACAAAAACTAATTAGCCAGGTCTGAAAATCCGTGCTAACAAACAAATCACATTATCCTTCTAAAGCGACATTATATGAATTCGTAATCCTTTAAAAGCATACTGAAGCGCTTCCCCTTGAAAAAGAACATTGTTTAAACTACATAAGTAATAATAGTACTAGTATATTCTTGACACGTTGATACCTGCTAAATTTGTTGCCGTCTTCAAAGATCTTTGATCTGGCTTGTTTAACATTTCTCTGCCAATATCGCAACAATTCCCGTCGCATTATGGCGATACAATTTATTTCTCTCTAACGCAAGTTTGTCAGAAGCCAATTTTTTTCCTAATAGCTCTGCTGAGGCCTACCTAACCTTAAGTAGCTAATGACATATAATGCACGAATAAGACGAGATTTGCCACTCTGACAAACAGCGCTTAAGCTGGAAACACTACTGTGCCGCATCATATACAAACTAATATATCGTAAAGCAGGTTTGTCTTTTTTTGCTATTCATCGGGCGCTTTGATGCCACACTGACTTGAGATATCGATCTGAGGTATCAACAAAGGCGGAATTAAAGAACTTTGCATTAGTACGTCAAATGTTTTGGAAGGCATAACGTTTTGAATTATGCACACTTGCAAATTAACTATTTAGTGAACAGCTTGGTATAGCTTGAACTTCAGTTTTTATTTCACCACAAACTATACTTTGTTTTGGTTGGTGACCTGGATTTTGCAGTAAAAAACCAAACGGCAGATCTCTGAATTATGATGAATCTCAAAGTGAAACATCAAATCTGTACTTACAATGAGAGGAGGAATAAGACAGATGTAAGCAATAATGTGTGCTGTAGTAACGGTTTCTTGTTTCAGCGGCAGAGAAATCGAGTTATCGTTGCATGGTACCAACAAACGAGCTGGGTCGATCATCCTTCTGCTGACGAAGAGGCCCAGGCCAACTGTCATGAAATGCCGTAACGCAATTTATAAGGTTACACAGACCTATTGGAATCTACTTATACCTTATAACTAGTCTTGATGCGATACGAAGCAGCGGTTCCTTTATTACGACAAAGATGGCTATTGTAACACTGTAGCCTTTTTTTATTTTTAAGTGATAAATAATGTTTCTACCAAATAGTTTATACCGATGAACCTTTCTTTAAAATATATTAAGGCCTACCACGAATTATCTGCAGCAATCGCGAATAATATTTGTTTACAAACACGTACTGCATACGTAGAGATGAATTTTAAGCAAGCAAAGATGTGACATCATTACGGAAATCAGTTTCAAATTGCGAGAGGCTGTCAATAACACATGTAATATAGTTATTCTAGGTGGTCCTCTTTATCTCCCAACTTACCGGCCGCAACTAAGATAATGTGAAGTGCGACCGCATTCTCTATGCGGGGGACCGCCATGGTTGCGGTGGTATGGCGAAGGGCCCCACAACCTGTGGCCGCCTTACGTTGGCGCTAGCGCAACTATCTCGCGTGCGTCAAGACGCGACATAGAGAGGGCGTCTACGGAACTATAGAAGATACGCTATACAAATGATGCTGCTTTCCATCTTGCTCATCCTATCCACCTGCATATTCACGAAAAACAACCGAATAGTTCGTCATCATAGAATAGTGGGTGACGCTGAATTCATAAGTTTCTAATACAATTAGTTTTCAATTCATTTTAATTTGTGGTAAAATGATTCGGTTATCGTGAATAAAAAAACAGTTTCAAAATTGCTAAACCTTTTTAAAGTAACAAAGAAATGTAATTGTAATAACAAGAATACGCTCAACGGGCTTTTTCGGATTCGTTCCATCAATAGTAACGACGGTCATTAGTAACTAAGAATTCTTTATTATAGCCCGTAATTTTCCTCAAGCCTTTAGTTTCTTTGCTGTGATTTAAAGAACAACAGACCTTTAGCGTATGTTTGACTCTTATTTTGTATAGCAGCCTTTCTTCAGATCGAAGCCAAATATGAACATATTTTATGCACTTTGAAAACCTAAGTTTTCCGTTTAAACCTTTGGCTTTAGTTTATATTTATAAAAAATCTAAATTTTTTAATATAATATCTTAAACTTTACAACTGAAAGGCCTGAATTAATATACCGAATAATGAGCAAGTTGAACTTCAGTTCTTTGCAGCTGCCATTGTTGGTGATGGAAAAGCCACTTTGTCCCGCTAAACAATGAGTAACAGTACCTAAAATAGGTACTCAACCCCTTGGATCTTTAGAGGTACCTCTTAGAATCTGCTTTAACTTATATAAATAGCGATCAAAAAAGCAATAAACGTTCTCAACGTTTGTTGCTTTTTTTTTACAACGAAAACCTTGTAAACGAAAAGACACGCTTTTATTGACTACTTACACAATCTCTCTCTCTCTCTTTCCTTTTCTATATATTTTTTGTGTGCGATCGTGCAACATCGACAGATGTGAGAATTGTACTTCTCAATCGTTAGTAAAACCTGCTATTATCAAAACTCCTCGCTTTGACTCGTCAATCGCTACCATTAATTGTAGAAACGACTTAAGTACCACATGTCATTATTTAGCTATATTTTTGTATACTTTAAAATTATTTTATAAGCTACATGCTCTCTATATATATATATATATATATATTTCGGAATTAGGTAACCCTCGGACTATATGCCACTTGCAGACTAAATTGGAAACTATGTAAAAAATGGCTCTCCCGTAAATTCTACGATAAATAAGGCATGGTTGGGGAGAGACAAGGTGAGAGACTAGCGTCACGCCAGAGAGAATTCTAATTCGGATGCAGTGTCTGGTCGGTGCGGACTTAAGCTGATGACAAAGTACTTGCAACGTACATCAAGAGCATATGGTAATAAAATACGCTCGCCGAAAATGAAACAGTAAATGCAGCTTGCTATCCCAAGCTCCTCAAGAAATTCATGCATCGTTGACACGACAATCGAAAGCATGTAATTTGTTGAGAACGCCAGACATCATCGCCATGCCTCAATTACTTTCTAGATTGAGCGAAAGATTACCCAACGTTGCTTTCCACCCGCCTATGGTTCCTCTCTAGGTCTGTGTAATTACGCAAGTTTTGATGCTCTAAAAAGGGCAAGTGATGAATATGGATATCCTACTATTAATTTACTTCGAGATAAAGAACCATAGATAGAGAAACTACATAGGAAAACGCGACAATGTAGGATATGGCTCTACAGAAACCGCAGAGCGCTAAGACGCGCGTACCAAAAACAAAGGAGAATACGGCAAACACGTATTAAAATCATCATTTAGCTCACCTAGTTCAAAAGTTACTAAATTTTGGATTTGCTTGTGATAGTATACATATATGTGTGTGTGTCATAGCATGTGGGTGACAATATAATTCTGAAGCACTCAAAAGTGCTAACATGTAGTTGGGTCGTTTCTATAATTGGTGACGGTCCTCGGCGGCTCGAATAGAAAACTTTCGTTAATAACTGCTGTCGCTAGTGATTTAAAAGTATATTACCCGAATTTAACTCATACCAGTATAAAGCTACACTTACTAATTTGGCATGCGTTCCGGCTGCAGCCATATGGATTACTCAGGGCTAAAAACCCCAGGAGCTTGTTGCGGGAATCCCGTTACATACAATCAAATATAACACGCCCTCCAGAGTCAAAAGTGTTACCTTTTCTACATTTATTCGAGTGTAATGATTACTGTCGGATTACAGTTACATATCAGTTATCTCTGAAGGGTGCCAAACAGTCATGTCGTTCATATGCCTTTATAAACCACATGCTGGCGTACAAACCTACTTTTAGCACTCGACTTTGCTCCACGCTTTCTTTCTCGTAATGCTCTAGTGCTTATCGCGGTTTTTTACCTAGATATGTACTGTTGCTCTTAATCGTGGAAATAATATAATTAGTAGAGTCTATAAGCGATATTGCGATAAGGGTGCGATTGTGCAAAAACCCCGTTATCTTAAGAGCAACTGCGTTGCAATTTAGACTAAATCAACAACAATTATAGACGAAATGAATAGTATTCCAACTGGTAGTGAGCCCGGGAAACTGAATATTCTACTCGATCGCTTAGCGAAAAATGTAAATAGGTCTTATCCAGTGGATTTGCCCGTACTCGACAAAGTCCTTAACTAGAGGCTCGTCTCCTCATTATTTTTTGAGAACTACCATTTTTCAGACTATTCAAAAATATATTTTAGTGTTAATCGAAAACTTTAACGGTACTAGTGCACTCATGGGGGATTCTCAAAACCCAACTCTCCGACATGTATTTTTGAAAAGTACCATTTGGCTCAACGAAATATTATTCGCAGCCCAAAAAAGAAACTGCGTGTAATATTCGACTGGATCCGACTGCTTCGTTCCATCCTATATACCAATGAATAGAGATATCGAAAGCTAAAAGTACAAAAAACAAGGGTTTCGGCGCCGAACTATACGCTTTACCAAGGTCAGGGCCATCATGGACCAGCTTAGAGCTTAAAGTGTGCTACAGCTTCGGTAAATGCCGACACTTAATAGCCTTTTAAAGCACTTAAACGGTCTGAATAGAAGTCTCCCTGACTGAAGTTGTCGGACTTCTAAGTCTGTAAAGAAGACTGGATTTCAACACTTCATAGTACTAAGCTAAAAGCAGCTCAGAATCCGGTGAGCGAGTAGAACCGCTGATTTCGATTTGATTTGTAAGGTGATGCTAACATCGTTATTGTTACCCCGCCTCATATTCATCGTCGTCAGATATCGCCTATGCACATCGTATGTTAAAAAAACATGCGGGAGCAGTGCAACTAAAAGTTGTGGAACATACCGAACATATTGCATAATCCTAGAAATTTCGGCATTATTTATACGTAAGGCCGCGATTAAGCTAAATGTAGTAGCGCGTTTTTTTAGTCGCAGTGACAGGAACGGTAACAATATATATACAAAACTTGTGAGTCATCGAAAAATCACTAAAATGTCCCCAAAGGGAGAAGGCCTAAGCTGTGGTATACGTAATGCTGTTGCCCTAGCTAAGTGTACACATTAAGGTTTTACAGCCTATAAAAAATAAGATATTCAAAGCTTATGGCAAAAGCTGTTATAACTGTCTAATATATGTTTACAACTATGCACGTATACTAAATATACAGAAGTCGATAAACAAACCAAAATCAGCAACTTCCTGGGTTTTTAGTCATAATGCAGTGCGTATGTGCCTTCATAAGATTCTCAGAAAATTATTGCAATTTTACATCTTGAATAAGCAAATATACGATCGAAAGCGGCAACATGCTACAGAATCTCAATTCGGTTAAGTGTTCCTTTTTTATTAACTTTCCGTAATGACCTCCTGACTCTTCGGTGAATATCCTCTGGTACCGGAACCAAAAACTTGCGATATGTTGTGCTTATGACTGTTTCCCTATTTGGACCTACATCAATACATATTAGACTAATCGCTTTACGTGTCTTGTAGACTAACAAAAAAATCGAATTCCAAGATATAATCGTAAAAAGCAAACTCCCCGCTTGCTCGATGGGGCGCGAACTTAACTAGAAAGATAACATAGCTCGGTTTACCGGAAAGGTATGACAATATACGGTGCTTCTTCAAGTGCCCTTTAATTACGCTAACTTTTATTCTCTAGTGTAGCGGAAACGTTTTGCAAGTGCAGCGACATCGGAACCGCCCTGTAAGGTTAAGCGACAATATTATATTCTTTTGAAACGAGTTTATCAAGTGGTTCGGAAAAACAGCTAACGGAAAAAATCTGCTTTATTGCAAATTAATAAACACTTCCAGAAGGTAAATTGTTGCTGTTTGATTGACACAGCAGTAAATGTGTACACCGAATTTTTAATGACTTGGGTCAGCGTTCTAGTTTCAACTAACTCATGTGAAATGTATGTTACTCTAAAAGCTTTTAAAAAGGGTTTTTAGGGTGGCACCCTTAGTTTTATTGGAAATTTCTACGAGGGAGATCCCATAAGCACTGGAAAATATAAAGGGCCCGCTCTAAAGTTTTGCTAACTTGTAGTTGTCAAAGCATTACTGATTCTTGTCCCTTTGCCTTCTATATAGGCAGCCTTTTAAAGTAAGGTAACCTGCATTATGTTTCGCTTCGACATTAAAAATGATTCTTGAGAATATGTCCCATTTGCGCTTGCATATAGCTATGATCTATTTTCAACCTAAAATGCCTCATAACTTTTCGTTCTGGCTTTGTTGCTGCGGGGGAGTGGAGCTTAGAAGACATCGAAGCCAATCATAGTAGACATATGGTTCTAATTATCGACCATTGGCGGAGAAAATTTAGAATTTTTGAGAAATACGCAAAATTTAAATCTGCTGTAGAAAGTTACATATATCTCACGGAAACCATTATGCAATTATTATGTGGTATGTGGATGATTAGAGTCGCCACAACTCGTCTGCTTTAAAAAAATTGTCTATCTATTAATCAACTTACAGCGTCATTATGTATACATCCTCTCCCGCTGTTCATTATTATAATTCAGTTTCGCTTTTCTATTAGTTGTTTTTTATCTTTCATGTTTAGAAATATCATTTAACAGCTTGTTGCTGGAACTGTATTTGTGCAATAGTCATATATTTAAGTCTGCGTCCAGACGTAATACAAATTTTTTTATTTATGCATTGCTATAGTATTGTTGCTGTCTATATTTTAGCGATCGTATCACAGTGGGATCACTGATGTACATAATCTCTTCTTCTTTAATTGCTAAAATTTTTATAGGATTTCTCGGATTAGAACACCATGTTCTGCGAACGTGGTTGCGAAGGCATGCGGACATCAAGTCCTTTAGAACTGTCATTCTTAGGGTTTTCTAGTGATGGGCTACCTGGAGCCAAATCTGGCTATAACGAAACTAATCATCTTTAATATGTCAACTCGGCAGGTCGATGATAAGTCCTTTTCAGGTCCCCAGCTAGTCGACAATTCGTACTGCATTAACACGCTTTCTCTAGTTTATTAGGCAGCGTAGGCAGACAATCTTCAGTCTGTAAGCAGGCGCAGCCTATATATGTGCAATTCAAATTTGAAACACCTAAAATAATGTAAGACTAATAACAAAAGACGTGTCTCCTTAAACAAGACATCTTACGTAATTATCAAGTTATTATAACGTCGTCACAAGTATTAGTCACATCACAAATGATACAGCTTTCTTTGCGTAGTAATCCATTTGCATGTTTCAAAATTTCTCTCATGAATTCCTTCACTGATTTGAATGACCAAATCTCACAAAGCAACAAACTCCAGCTTGATCGTACGCCGCAAGCAAAAGCACGTCTACTCGATTCGTTAACCAACAAGATAATCTCGAAGGTAGCAGCACAATAATACGAGCGGTTAATGACGAACAGAAATAGGTGTTTGCTAGAACAACTTTTTGAAAATGAGTATTACGAGATACATCCTGCGTATTTTATCCACTAAAAACAAATCGTTTGAAGTAAAAAGGTCGTCTACACGAATTGTGCGGCTCTAGCAAAATATAGCTTTCTGCGTCTCATTCTGGATCACTTGAGCCGCACAAGATCTTTGTCCTTATATGGGATGTGCATAACACAACGGTGGCAGCAACACCGTCTCGTAAATAAGATAAGAGGACCCTTATTTGACCTCTTCACCAGAGCCTGTGGTAGCATACCACCGAGACGGTTATTAAAGTCAGTTTGTCATTCTCGTCTTCTAAAAATGTGTACACAAGGATTTAATAACCTGTAGCAACAAAAGTTGAGTTTTATATTTTTTTTTATATTGATGATACTTTGAGGCGAAGATTTTAGCATAAATCCCGCAACAAAACCAAATGTTCTAATAACCTATTCCACATACTCCAGAGCAGTGCGTATGTCGTCGGCAACCCCTATAAAGTTAACAGTACATCCGCATAAAGGATGGTACATGTCATTCGTGAGACACATAAGTGATAACCAAAAATTAATTAGAAGGAAGAAGATTTAACCGAAAAATAGCAAAAAAAAGAATACAATAGGTAAACACCCTAATATACATTGCGATTACGTGGGAAGAGTTAAATGGTGAATATATTTTAAGATAATGAGAGCCGAACGTAAATGAAAGATGTGACAGCATGTTCGCTTAACCATTGTCAAATATGATAGGATATTTGATACATTTTAACCTGTCCACAGTATTAGGATATCGCAGCCCGTGTTTTAAACTTTACGGAAAATGGTATGTTTATGTTTTTGTCCTATAGTTCTCAAGATAAATGTCAAAAAGCTGTTATTTATTGGCTCTCTATCTCGCTATATACACTTTATACATGTCTTTTCATGGCTCGTAATACCTAAGTATCTGACAAAGAAAACAAACCCACAAAGGGATCTCCGAAGAATTCTGACTCACAATACAGCTTCTCGTGCTTACTGATTTATATACTAAATGATTTACCTTATTAAATTATACGATGCAGGTGATGAACTATCGTCTTTACGATTCGATATTTCTTACTAGCTGGTCTAAATAGTTCGATTTAGCTGTTTTCTTTTTGCCGATATAAAACTAACATCCACACAAACTGCCAGATTAATAGGATCGGTGTTGCAAGATAATAATCGTAGTAGAAGAACTAATTTCTAAAAATTGCTTAAACTCATGGCTTTCCTGTTTTTCTGAAAACGGAAATGATAAAGGATTCGTTTAACACCTAAGTTGTGCACTCTTTGAGGCTTTTTGTGTTTGATAAATTGGCATGTAACTATATACATTTTTGAAAAATTTAATTTATAAAGTTACGTGTATGAAAAATAATACAAATAATACAGAAAGTTAGTATCGTCAATTCATATCTGGTTAATGATGTGTCATGTGCTGAAAAGCACTTTTCTTTTTTTCAGGAAATGGTACAAGAATCTCAACTTACGTGCTGGGCATACAGTTAAATACAGTTAAACGGTGCTTTTCGAGCTATAATGCATATATTATCATTGCACCTCAAATACATCCACAAATAGAAGATACACAACTGTATAAGTTTGGTAGCGGAGAGTAACTTCCATAAAGACAAACATTTTCTAGGCTGATTGTGATTGCGTATGACGCAGTATCTTAGAACTTAAAATAGAAAATAAAGCTTAAAATCTATTTCGATTCAACTTGGCGTCAAATGTCTCGAAAAGTGGACATTGGTGGCATATTTGGTACTGTTATTCCAGACATTGATAAAAAAAAATAGCCAAATTTGGATCAAGTTTTCGATAGGTTCTCCGTGGAAATCGTTTTCGAATAAAGATTAACAACAACACCAATGCCATTAGAAATAAGACTAATCATCATTGTTTTGTGAATAGTTTTTGTGCATGTAACAACAAAATTTGATGCGTCACTTTTTGGGGTGATTGCAGTCAATCACAAAAGGAAATGAAATAATTATAAGCCTTCCTGAAGAGCGTCCCCATTAAACGAGAAGTCATATCTAAACTACTATTATGTACAGAGCAGGTGTTGGGTTAAGAAGAACTGCAGCCATACAGAATCAACGCGATCCTATTTACTATATTGTTACGACATATTAAATCGTAAAGTCCTATGTTACATAACGGTACTTCATTAGAGTTAACCGTTCTTACAGGTTCACTTATAGGTTATTAATCACCAGCTAACGACAGATATTATGCAACCTCTATGAATAAAGGAAGTTCGGCAATCGGGTGCTATTATTACTCTGAAAACGCAGGCGTTGAGCAGATAGCTTTAGAGCTAGGAAAAGCCTTTTCGCGCCATGTTTTGCAAAACTGTTCTTGGCCAACAAGCTCTATCTAACCGACCGTTGCCTTTGTATGCGTTAAGCTTTCCAATCTCCGGAATCATCTTGAATCGATAGCGCTATATTTAATCACTGGCGCATGTGGTAATGCCTGTACTATAATATGAAGTTTAGTATATTCGTTTAATAAAAAAAGTATATAACACCCATATGCCATTCTGACATTTAAAATTACTATCCTATCAATAACTACAAAGTCAGTGGGAGGCACAGATCAGCATGTACAATATTAGATCATCAGTGGACAGCTATGTAGGATTAATTTTACAAAGTAATGTAAAGTAGAAATTGCCGCACTCGACAATTGCTAAAGAAGAACATAAAGACACATTGACGTATTTTACGTACAATTGCTAATTAATAGTTGAAGGCGCTTCTAGAAGGGAGCCTGCGAAAGAACGAAGTATTCATAATCGCTTGTCGTCGAGTAAAAATGTTAATTTTTCAAGTACCCTTTTTCAAGCAAACTACATTAACATACGCTCGTTTTAAGTGAGTATTTACAATTTCACGTCGTTGCTTGAAATTCATAGCAACCATCACTTGTCACTCGCTTTTCGTAATAGTTTTGTCACATTGACACACAGTGACAGCGCTCTGGTACCAATCATTAAAAAATGACCATGTTGAACAATGGATTCGCAGCGAAAATTCAATGGGTCAGTCACAAAAAAGAAAGGGATTATTTTAAGTATTCGTGACACTTGTATAATTGTAAAGTACCTAGTTACTACAGATCCAACGACCAACTAGTTGAATAGGAACTTGGCGATGCGTTGTTCACAGGTGTTGAAAAGAACATCTGTTCCCACACGACATAGAGAGCCACAGCAAGATGATATATTTAGACATTGGTGGTGGAAACATACCGCTCTACTTTTAGGAACAGGCTATCGAACAAAATGGATGAACAAACGGCAGGGCGAAATCAGGCCATATTCATCTTCGGGCAACGGTAGGCGCGAGCTTGAGAGCTCAAGACTAATATCATAGACGTTAGCAGAGAGTAAAGTTTGTCTAACAGTGATAATATAGCTTAATCGAATCATACTTGAAGAAGGTTCACATCGCACCTTAACGAGCGAAATACATCTAAATTTAGTGAAGGGTTCCGTGTATGTGCTTACCTAGGAATATATTCTAGCAGTCCTATCTAGGCCGCTGCTGATGAAGATGCTTAAGCAGTTGACAGCTAAGTGTAGGCATCAGTGATGTGAGATTTTGCTGTGGCTACATTACCAACCTGATCAAGCGTGTTGCAGTCAGAGCTTTGTCACAGGCCTTTCCATTAAGGTGTCGGAGATGAGATGCCGCAGAGTTACCGTTGCTATTCGTTCGGAGGTACTGCACCACCAGCACTCACCAGCTGCTACCGGGAGAGGGGCGTCTTTCGACGGCCCGTCTCGATTCGATTTTCAACAGCGTCGATAACAGCGCTTATAACATCACAAAACAGAGCATGCCATCTCGCTCGAAACATGCCACTAACAACAGCACCGCCAGTAGTAGTAATCAACAATAGGAACTGCATTGTCGCACCAGCCGTATCAACAAAAGAGGGAAGTCAACGTAAAACAGATAGTACATGCTTGTTTCATAGGTTTACGTTATGAACAGCAGAGTGCCCGTACATTTTATGGACACAACTCTTTTCTACGCTTGTAAATTGTATTGTGGTTGGTGTCAGTTATTATTCCGTGGGACTAAGATGTCAGTGGAAGCCATGGTCACAACATTGATTATTAATGCTTGTAGGTAGGGGATAAAGGGAAAGCGTAGCTAAGTGCTCTAAAAAGTTAAAACTAAAAAGCTGCGTCCGCTGATGGAACCGTGACCAGTGCATACCTTAGTAAATTACATATGCGTGACGATAAAGCAGCTTGAAGAGAAAATTTCCTAACTCTTCGACCTTGACGATCCTGCTAATCACCTGGACTATAATCAACTTGACCAAACCGGGCCACAGAATGATTCGAAAACATTTTAAATACTCGACTCTAATACAGGATGCCATCCTTCATTCAAAGGGTAATAACCGTAACTCAAAGCTCTGAAAACGCAAGTACCTATTGGGAGTCCTTTTAGCATGATTTCCGGCGATGTCGAATGTTATCTTTCCCTGTTGGCCCGGTATAAATAGCTTTTTTTTTTACATAGGTACAAAACATGTACGCGGTCCAAAAACTATTTCCTTTAATACTCCATTCGTTAAATCCCGAATGCTAAACTGACCTATCTGTCCATAGGCAGAAGAAACGCCTACCCGTTAGACACATACCCATTAAACTATTATCACCTTCTTATTGAGCCATTCTGACGCCATTTACATCCTGGTGGCGTTGCCTTTGCTAACTCTAGACCTTCTTTAGGGGTTCCAAAAAAGTATCCTGGCTAATATTAAGATCTTTTCCCTACATGTTTTCTATATGTTTTCACACCTGCTAATTACTACCGCCTTGTGTGCCTTTAGGAGAGTCCTTCACCTTTTCTGTTTATTCAACGCAGTATCCGTTCATATCGCTGCAGCATGCTATACTAGTTCTGCTATGGACACCAGAAAGTGCCTCGTATTTTTTATAGGGCTTCTAATTCTGAGCATACATCTTGCTAAGTTGAGTGCACTGCGCGGCGCCTTTCCTGCTCTATACTGCGCATGCCCTGCTGTTGTAAATCCAGTATCTATAATAACATCTGAGTATTTTACCTATCTTTTGATCTAAATTGGGTTCCTTTTACGTTTATTTTGAGTCCGGTAATTTTTTTCTGTCTGTTAAGATTACCTCGCTCTATTCAGACACATTTGAAAAACGAAATTTTTCCAAATGTCCAAAAAAATGCAGTCCAACGTGAAGGCGAGAGCCTCATCCACTTTATCTTCTAGCTCCTTCTTAATTCTTTTCATGATAAACGTCATAATCAACGTAGACAATTCCGTCTATATCATACGGCATATCTATAATGTTTAGCATCTCAACATAGGCAAGGTTTCACAGGACTGGTATCAGAACCGACTTTTGGGATTACCGCTGTGACGTTCCTCTTCAGAGTCCACCCTAAAAAGTTCCAGATAAGATTTCTTTAACGTATGGTGAGGTATCTTCGTTTTCTAAAGATTCAGTCATGACTCCCAGTTTTTGGTATTGAAAGCGTTTTTATCATCAAGCAGTACTAGAATAGCGTTGTTCCCTGTCTTGAGCGTGCCAGCCTTTCTTCTATACGTCCTATCAAGGACTCTCTGTGAGAGTTAATTTACGTACTTCAGTTTTTACTCCCGTTGGTGGGATCTAGTCTAATCTAAGCTAGATATTTCCTGTTGTGAATTTCCTTTATTGCCTTATTTGTGAACTTAAATAGAAAATAGGAAAATAACTTCTTTCTGTTACATGCTGTGAGAGATTTAGTGTTTTTTTAACTTTTGTCTTCTTACTATTTTTGACAAGGGTTTTCAGAGTCTTTGTCTCCACGATAGTTTGCTTTCCGTAGCGAAGCGCTCGTTCTTTAAAAAGAACGCCGCAGCCTTATCTAAACAAGACGAAACACAAAAATATTTTTATTCCAACCCGGCATAGTTACCATTCGGCGACTTTGATCGTAGTTGGTGCCCATGAAGAAATATAATGCTTCCAAAGCTTCTTTCTTCGCAACCCTTTTATTCGTCTGATATATGTATCATAAGTATCTCTTCCATTGTCAGTTTTTTATTCTTATTATCTTTTGAAGTACCTAGGATGTGGCGTATATCTGTATTTAGAACCACTTACCCGGTGATGGTGAGCAAAAAGTCCTTTTCTTCTTCATCCTCCATTTCTAAGGCGTCACTGCTAGTCGATGTGCCTACTTGTCCTCGGTCCATCCTTGTTGTTGTATAAGCCGAGAGCAAAATGACTGTCAAGTCTTTCCATGGAAATCTGGTCTTTATTGAAATCCTTCGTTACAAATTAGGAATTTGATTTGTTTGGCCTTTGGGATACACCATCCCTCTTGACAACATCCTTGGAGCTCCTCTCTTGGTTCCTCCCGTTTCTTCCCCGAAGCTATGCCCATTTGTGTTACTAGCTAGCACTTCTACTCTTTCCCCTCATTGCTTACTGTCTACTTAAGGTGATTCCTTGGGGTTCTAAGATATATTAACCATTTGATCATGATAGGGATTTTGGTATTTTCCCATTCTCAATTTAGGAAAATGTAATCAGCTCCTATTCCAATCCGTTCACCCGCAGACAAGTTTCGGAACAATTACGTTTCAACCCTGATAAAACAGGCACAGTCGCATTATATTAAATCTACTATTCGTTTAATCAATCGGTAACAATCGCGTTAAGTGTAATGGTACCCATGGCTGGCACCGCTCAAGCGACAATATTCGCACCAAAATTTTGAACATACGGCAGAAATTCATTCCTTTCAAGATCACTCCCCGTCTTTCGACGTGCCATGATTTGATCTAATATACCACGTGTTCAATTTGAGATGGTGGCTGTTTTGTTATCAAGGACAAAAAGGTCATCCAGCGGCGTACTATTATTGATCGCCCCAATCTCCCAGTCCAGTAAAGCAGATGTAGGATAGCAATCTGTGAATTTATCCGGTTGCTCTCCGCGTAAAGGTTGGCACTCGGCTCACCACCGCAGTGACCTCAAACCCCAGATTCACTAATTTGGCCCAAAAAACTCTGGCAGATCACAAGTCTTCGCATTTAATGTACTGACCGAGTCACTGAGCTCCCTATTCTCTTTGTGAAACACCAAACCACTAAGGACAACGGCACAAATGACTCAAATTCCTCCGGAACTCGGAGGAGGAATTCCGGAGGAACTCGAGTCAAACGTAACCGTTCATGACGAAATTAGAACTGGAACCTAACCTAGAGCTGCTCGTGTTCGATGGCAGCAAAAACCTCCACGCCCTGCTTCTTGACCGTTCCGTGCTCTTTTTCGTCATAGATCTATGGGATATGAGGAAATTGTAACTGGTTTCGTCTGCACCTGTTCACAGGATTTGAAGAAAGCCGGTTTACAGCAAACCCACGCCATAGTAGCCTCAGCCCATATCTTAGAGGGCGTAGGCAGGTAACCCCATTAACAAAGCCCAAGAAATTACTAGCCTGTCGAGTCAACTAAGAAATGCTTATGCCTCTTACAAGGCGCCAATCAAGCATATTAACAGGGCCCCATTTCTTTTATTGAGTATCAGAATCAGGGGGAGGCAGGCATTTTCCCTCCAGAAAATTTTGGATTAACTGAAGGCTCATATTAACCTAGAAGCAGCAGGTATTGCAATGACCTCAGTTGCCACAAGCAGGGACGAAAATCTTCTCAACCGAATAAAAAGATGAGCTATAAAACGGTATCTCTTGCGCAAACATGTCGCAAAAGGCCTAAAAGTAGAAGTCGATATCTACTAGGCCACAGGTTCCTCGGCTGAGAGAAATTAACTTCTTTCTTAATGGGGACTTCTGGGGGGATTGCTTCGGAGTTCTGAATGAAACTCAAACTGTCGCCTATTACCTCTAAACAATTGGAAAACCCTCAATTACGAACATTTGGAAAACGGCAGTACCTCGTTGCCCTGCCCCGAGCCTCCATCAAAGGCCTTATTTCGCGCAAATTTGTTTGGGCGATCAAGATATAAAGCGAAAGGATGCTTCTCAGTCTTACCATGTCTCCAATACAAGGACACAGACCACCTGGCTGAAACTGCGACGAGAAAAGCCAACACTGCCAGAAACGCCCTGAACCATCTGGTGAAGGACTTGCCTGTGACAAACTTCCACTTCTTTAGTTGTGGCGTGAATAACCACAGAGCCATCTTAACAACATGCCCTATCTTTAGTAGAGTTCTTGACGAAAACCCAGCGATTAGCCTCAAGAAGTAGCCGCTAAGCCTCATTCCGTAAAAAAGAAGCATGCGGCAGGCCTGCTTACCTGCTCGGTTTGTTAGAAAAGGGCTTTGAAACTATACTTGAAGCAAGGACCTTAAAATATACAAAAGGTAACAGTTTTCTTTCTGACAACCAGGTCGGTTTCAAAAAATATAGTTCAGTTCAATCAGCTATTAACAAGGTCTCACGAAACGCTGTTCAAATCAGAAAAACCAAGACCCAGTTGAAAAATCTAATCTTAATCATTCTTCTCACTCAAACGAGCTTCAATATAGTGTTCACATTATCTCAGCATAATTGCATAGCAGCAGAACAGTTACAAACAGAGGGGCTATTTTCTTTGTAATCGCAGGAGTCTTCATTAGATCCGCTGCCTTAAAATTAAACCTACCATAATGTCCTGTGCTTCTACGCAGATGATCTTGCGGTTACGGTCACTCGGACGGCTACACACCGTCTGTGATCTAGAAAGTTGTATAAATCTGACACTGAATGAGACCTCCACAAAAGAAAACAAAGTGGCTCCTGTCAAGTTTGAGACCGTCCTGATAATAGATAGCAAAGGGTGCCTTAGACCTGTCAAATGTCCTAGCTTGCACATTTCCTAATATAGCCGGACCGCGTGAAGGAACAAGAAAATTCCTTATGGCAGTCATCGA